TGTGTATTGTTCTAAGCTAGAAGTTTTTAAGCCATGGGTTGACACAGTACAACCCATTAAGGGTCAATGCCAACATGTGACATGTGGGTTAGTATGACACAATACACAAGTTCAAATGTGTCGTGCCATATTAGCACATAACTATTATAAATGGACTTTTAGCCTTTGAGTGTATTTATGTAATTTTTTATATTCTAACAAAATTATATTTATTTTTTTGATAATTTATATAATAAAATTATATTAAATAAATTTACTTATTAAATATTTAAATTATTGATAGATAGATTATATCTAACGATTTACGAATCATTCAAAGTACGAAGTATTTTTATTTATTTAAATTTGAAACAAATTAACATTTTTTCAAAGTTATTTGATCAAAATCTTCAAACTTATAACATATATAAAAGATTTTAGTTGTAAAACAAAACGAAGGGCCAGTCATCTGAAAAGATATAAGGAAAAACACAAGGCTGCATCTACTGTTTCTAATGACCTTATATGGACTTTTACCTACCATTTCAAATAAAAATGTAGAAAGACCTAGAACATAAATTTAAACTTAGAAAATTAGAAAAAATTCAAGAAATTCTCCAAATTCTCAGAATAAGCCTAAATAGAAATTAAAATCAAATCCAAACCCAAAAGACCTAAAAGATCAAATCAAAAATCTTTTAATAATTTCCAAAACTCCCAGAATCCAAAATTGAACCAAAAATCCAAATTTAAAATTTAAGTTCAACAATCAATCGGGGACTCAGAAAATCAAAATTCAAAATTTTCAAAACCAAATTCCAAAATAGAATGATTCCCCAAAAAAAATCACTAAAATATTGACCCAAAACCCATAATCAAAACCTAGAACTTTCAACATTAAATTCATAGAGAAAAACCCATAAATTAAAACCACCAAATCTCAAAAAAAAAAAAAAAAAAACCAAAGATAGAAAGCTATGATTTTTGGAATTTGTTGGTTTTTCTTCTTACTTTCTGTATATGTTTTGCTGTTTGTTTTTCCCCATGATCACAAATTTGAATCCTTTATATAAGGATTCATACTTCTTTACTTTGAAAAATATCAATTTTCACTAAATCTATGATTTCATTGTGATTTTATTTTTTTATGAATTGATTCTCTATGATTTGATATTGCATGAATGAATCCCCAAACTTTCCAAAGATTGAATTCAGAATCGAAGCTGGGTGAAAAATCCCACATTTTCATTTTTTTTTTAGGTTTCTAACTTTCCTTTTTTTTTTTTCCTAACCTTGACTTTAACTGTTTATTTTTTTACTAAAATAGACCACAAAATTAAAAAAATAAAAATCTAAATCTAAATTAAAATTAAAATCAAAATCAAATGAAATTAAAGTCAAATTACAACTCCAAATTAAAATTTTTGTGCTTTTATCCTATTGGGCCTAAAGCTATCCAATCGGGTCCAATTTATAATCGAAGGCCCATTTGAATTCCAAACAATTTTCCTGGACAAAATGGAATGCTTACAATAAGTATTACTTTATTATATGCATTATAAATATTGATTTTAAAAATAAATATGAACCGTTAAGGATGAGATTCTTGAAAAATTCGAGTAGTGATTTTTAAAAGATCTTTAGATGAAAAAGTTTCTCTTAATATTGTCAAATATTGAAATATTTTTGGGAATATTTCAACATACAAAGTTCTTATTTATTTTTCAAGCAAAATTTTTTTAAATAAAATAAAATGAAAAAATGTTTTTATTGTAAGAAAAAATGAAAATTATTTTTAAATATCAAAAGTAAAACCACTTTTATCAAAATTATGATATAACATATGATTAATTGGTATTGTTTTTAAAACGAGCGCTATAGGAGTATTAATCATTCCTTATATGTAACTGTACTCCCGAACCCATCTTTGATTTCAAAAATCAAAATTCTTTTTTTGACAAACTCTAAACTAGTTTTAGGATTTTATTAAAAACATAATTTTTTTAATGGCCGATCACACCTAACAAAAAATATTAGTGGCGACTCTTCTATTTTGAGATTTTTTAAAATTTTCATCTAGTGGCCCAAAACCTATTAGAAAATACTATTAGATCATATGTGTCATAACATATAGATCCAAAAATTTATAGCTAGACTTAACAAATGGATGAAGTCACCACTAATCTTTTTTAACTAGGTGTGATTGATCACATAAGGAATCTATCCCTTTAAGGAGTTCTTAAGCTTGATGAAGGGTCTCTAAAAGAATAGGTTCAGGTCTACAAACCAAAATAGGGTTCGAGAGTTCAGTTACATGTGGGGAAGGTTATAGCACCCCCATATGCCCATCCAAAAGATGGTATCTATTATTTTAAATTTATCCTATGGTCTTGAGTCTAATGGTTTTCACATTTTTATGCTAAATATTGAAAATAATTCATAAGATTTTTTCATCAATATGATAGAATTTTTAAAAATATTTTCTCACCTTAAGAGTATTCAAGGATCCCATTTGTTTCTTTGAAAAGACTCCGTTATCGAAAAAAATTTATTTGTTATTTTTTTTGTTAAAAATATATCTAATTATTCCACTATTTAGGTCAAATCAAAAAAAATTTTTTTGAATTTTTAAAATTTTCACAATTTGGGCTTATTTAAAAAAAAAAATTTTGGAAAGAAAATAATATGACAATTATTTTTATTGAAATTTCATTTAAATTATTCCATAATTTAGAACAAATTTAAAGAAAATTTCTCACATAGAGATTTTTTTAAAATTTACCATTTGAAATTTTTAAGAATTTCATCCTTGGATAGTTATCAAATATTTTCAATCCAAATTTTTATTTTTTATTTTTTTGTTCTGAAAATAATATTAATTATTATTATTGAAACTTTATCTAAATTATTTCACCATTTGGGATAAATTTAGACAAAATTTCTCACCTAAAAATTTTATAAAAATTTATCATTTGAAATTTCTATAAATTTCATCATTGGATAATTAAGATTTATTCAAAATTTATTTTATTAAGTTTTACATTTTTTATTTTTTCTAAATTTAATCATGCAAAAATACTATGAAAATAAATAAATTAAATTAATAAAAAAAAATACCAAATAGGAAAATGGCTCAGCTCAACGGCTAAAAGGCTTTACTCGACTGCAGGAAGAAAAGCTGGAATGGCTTAAAAAGTGGTTTGGCTTAGCTCAGCTTAAGACAAAAATTGAAAAAAATTGTCGAAATTTAATAATTTTTCATATATTTTCAAAAAAAAAATTTTTAGAACCTTAAAAAATCTTTGAAAAATCATCTTGACTGCTTTCTCTAATTTCAGCCCTTCTCCCTAATTTTTTTTTATGTGTTTGTGTAATTTGCGTGAGCATGTATTTATAAGATTCTGAATCTGATAACTCTAATCCAGAAAAGAATCCCAATTTCCTTTGAATTCCAAACTTAGACTTAACTCCAACTTTACAAACTAATTCCAATAATTTTACATAAACTCAATTACCTTTTTTTTATTTTTTTAAATTTTTTATTAGCAAAAATCAAAAATAGATCCCTAAATAGATTGAGATGTTTACAATATGTTTTTAAAATATTTTTTTTATAAAAAAATTTTAATATCTAGTTTATCAAAAATTTCTTTTAGAATTTCACTTACTTCTGATAATGAACTAGTTGACAAAATTTTAGTCATATATGTATTATTTATCATTGGATAATTGATATGTATGTATTTTTTTTAAATTAAGATTATAATTTTAATATCTTTATTTAGTGGATTCTATTATCCATTTACGTGAATGTAGACATTTTATCAAATCACTTAAATTATGTGTTTTTTATTTCATTTTATGTTTATTATCTCTTACTTGTTATTTTTAATAATAATAAATAAATTTTTTAAAAAAGAATTAAATTTTCTAAAATATATTAATAAACTTTTATTTGGCCCATCTCGACAAGAAAATAATAACCCATAAAGACTATAGGTTACTGTATGCTCTGCTAGATCATATTCTTAATTTTTATAAACCGTGTCAACATAGCACATAAAAAAAATACTAAATAAATATGATTTATTAATATATGAATTAATATTTAAATGGGCCCATTTCACACCTCTCAGTACTAATAATATAAAAATGTGAAGTAATTTCCTACGATAGCTACCAGAGTGAATTAAAGTTGATGAATAAAGTAGTGAACTAAAATGCAAATTCTTTTTTTTTTTTGTTTTCTTTTAAATAATAACAATATTCAAACAAAATGGTAAAACAAACAAAATAAATAATTTATAGAAAATATAAAAAGAAAAGAAGGATAAATGGGTTTTGGGTTGCAAACCCAAACCAAGATCCATTAATAAGCGAGGGCCACACCAAGCTCAATATAGTATGACCCAAATAATTTTAAAAAACCCCAAAATAAATGGAGTGTATATAGTCCATTACTGTAAATGTAACGTTACTGCAAATGTGATGAAATTGAACTTGTGGCCGTCGCTACAACTCTTTTTAACTCAAAAAAAGATAAAAAAAAAAAAAAAAAAAAAGAAGGACCCATATTGTTGCGATCAAAAAGAGTTACCACGAAATTTACAAAAGTTATTTTTATTTGAAATTGTCATAGGTCGAATTATGGACTTTGAAACATCTAACAGTTCAGCACTTTTCTCAAAATCCATATGGCTGTTGGCAAATTTGCAAAAAACTCTTTTCTTCTACTCTATAGAACTTGGATTCTCAAAACCACCAAAAATGGTATTAGGGTTCAATACATTTCTACCATTAATTAGTTATATGGCAACATATATATAGTAAAACACTCAGTTAATTTATACAATATTTTTTTAAGAGAACATCTAAAAAATTTAAAATTCAAATTATGACATCCGTAACATTTTCTCATATCTTCGAATTGTAGCATTCTTTATATAAAAACCCACACACATAAAGTTCATCGTTGATAGAGTGCACATTCACTTTATTTATAGGGCATCAAACACGAGCCCTTATTTATGAGAACTTGCTCCACAATTTTCCACTGAAGCTTCTATCTTGTTTTGCATTGTTATAAGTTCACTGCAATAAGAGCAAATTAAGACAAAGAAAAAGAAAAGAAAATGTATTTTTATTAGTAACCAAAAGTTTCAAAATTAATATGTAAAGGAGAAAGAAATTAATTGTAAACCAACCGCAATGCCTGAGTGAGCTTCGCTGCTATAGTGAAGTCTTGGTCTTCTCTTGCCTTGAAGATCTGAAACATGAGAACAAGGCGGCTTTGGGTGTTGGCACTTTGTTGTATTATGAGGTTAGTCTCATTTCGAAGTTGCTCGCATTCCAATTCAATTGCTTCACATTTTTCTTTGACATGCCTTTGTCCCTCTTTGATCTCTTTTTGTTCTTCACTCCTCTTTTCCATCTCTACTCTTAACTTTCTCATGATGGCATTTAGTTTTTTCATTCTTTTTCTCTTATAATTTCAATACAAAACAAAATAGCATGTAAGAATAAAAATAATACCTAAATTTCTCTTTTACATGATAACAAATAACAATATTCTTGAAGCTCGTTGTTGTAACTTGGAAGTTCTTAAATTTTCACAGGTTCAATTGGTCTGTTTCTCAAACTAATATTAAAAGTCGTTCCCACATGAAGATAAAATGAAGGATTATAAAATAATCTAACTGCCCCTTCTCCAAGCACAAGTTTTTGACCTTGTAAGTGCAGGTCAGTCTACACATAAACTGAATTATTATTTCGATAGGCATAAGTTATTTTTTATACATTAAGTTTTTAATTATTTTTAAATATATCCTCAACAGGGTATGTTTTAATTCTTTAATTTCCTTGTATAAAAACTGTATTAGATAAATTTTCAAATAAAATTACTAATCAAATTACAAACGAACAAATAATTGGAGCTACAGAAGTAAATAGGACGTGCTATCTGCCAGGCCGATAGGGTTGACACGACTCTTGCCGAGGCATGGATATGTTTTTTCTTTTCTTTTTAAAGCTCCAGGTAGACTTGAAAATATTATTATATTAATAAATAATTTATATTTATTAAATTTAATTTAATATATATTAAAAAATTATTTTAATATTTTAATAATAAACTTAATTCAAACGAAACAAAACTAGGTTAAGTAGGATTCAAGCTCAGATTTGAATTTTTAAAATGTTAACCGGATCCAATTCAATATTCGATTCATAAATACCTTTGCATTAGCTTATTAACACTCCTAACCTGAGCCTGTTATAAATTAAAAGTTTAAATTTGTAATGAATTATACGCGTGTACGTTTAGTTTCATTGGTCCTCTTGACATTCAAAGCTGGAATTATGTTGAGATTTTTGCGAATTAAAGAAGCTCCTTTAATGTTCTGTAAATCACCTTGGACAAAACTCAAAGCTCTAGTGATTGAGTCCGATTCAAAAGTGGCATTATCTTGGGTTTTTAATGTTGATTCTTGGCCTTGGAAGGAGTGGCATAACTTCAATGAAATGGAGAAGACTTAGAGTGAAATTGGAAGGATCAAGTTTGTACATATTTCAGGGAAGCACACTCTTTTGCATAGGGGTGTTAACAGAACTTATATGTTTTATCAAAAATGGATTTAAATATAAAGTTATAATGTTTATTTACACTTTAAAAATTGAAAAATAAGAAAATTAAAAAAAATTTATCTGAATACCCTTAATTTTTTTATACATCTTTTTTATTGATAAAATTAGTAAATTCATTGACATTTTTTCATTTATATTATAAGTAGGCATTTCTGAAAAAAATTCTAAATCAACTGCAGTATTTTTTGCTTGGTTTTAGATGTTTTACTCCCTTGTTATGCGTCCCAATTATATTGTTTCTAATATCAAATCTGATCATAACCCGGGAAGAGTTGAAGCACCACTAGTTCCGTAACATGGAACTTAAACCAGTTATTCTCGAAAACTTGAACTGAAGTTTTTAGTAATAATAAGAAACTTTAAACCTGATTTTATATAATCTTTTGTCGATCAAGTTTATCTTTGATATGAAATGGGATACTGTAAATAACTTCACCAAAACCTATAAAAATAAAATAACATAACAGCTAAGTTTGAAATACCTGATGTTTTCTCTGTGACAAGCTATGATGCACTTTTGCAGTTGCCAAAGGAGATTTTCTCTTGCTCAATGCCATAGCATTCATTTTATTTCTTTTTCCCACTGTTACTTTACCTTGCGCACTGGGAAATAAGTATATAATTTATCAAGCATTTGCCAATATATATAGAATTCAATGTTTATATGGATCGGATTACACTTGGTTGGTGGTCATTCAAATGTCTTGTTCAGAACGATTAGATCTGTCAGATATTCAAGAGACTTGAAATTTTAGAAATATATATTAAAGTCTTTAAAAAAGTATGAAAATTTTATTATTTTTAAATGATTTTAAAATTAAAATTGAATAAAAATAATTTTTATTAATAAAAGTCATGTTTAGGGCTCGGCTTACGTACAGGTCTAGTTCAATCCGATTATCTCCTTATTAGCTAATTTCTTTTATTTTATATTTGAAACTATGAAAAATTAAATCTTAATTATTAAAATTTAAAATTCAAAATTTTGCCAGATCAAATACTGTTGGTAAAAAAATCAACAGCAACAAAAAAAAAAAAAAACCATGTATTAATACTCTTGGCTAACATTAAAAAAGCTAATTGATTGGCCTAAATTTGAAAAGAAAAATGTTAATCAGTGCTTATTAAGATGATATTTATAGAAAAGATTTATCAATGTTGTATTGGTTTTTTTAATTTAGTCATAATAATATATTAAATAAAAAAAACTTAACAATTAAATATTTGATTCAATATTTAATAAAAAATTTAATTCAATAATAAATGCACATATTTCGTTAATCAACAAGCAAGTTTGAATTCTTATTCCTCCTAATTCTTAAATAAATTATATAAAAAAAAATCTTAGGATAAAGCTTCCAACACGGGCACCACGACCCAATTGAAAAGGTAAAGCTTCCAACACGGACATCATCATTAATTTTTTTTCAACTTGGCTTGCTACCATCCAGAGAACAATGTCGAAAGACATCGTAAGACTTTCGGTTCGACATCGTAAGTTTTGCTGTTGTTAATGCAAGTCAACTAAGAGAAACGCTCGATTCTTAATTCGTTCTATGAATGAAACCTTTTTCTTTTTTTTTGAATTTTAAACCTTATCTTTATGTCGTATCTTCAGACCTAATTTGACATAATTTTTTTATGTATTCAGTCACTTTTATTTGAAAAATATTTAATTGTATTAACTTTATGTCTTTTAAAATTTTAAAAAAAAATTTTGATGAAAATTTTATAAATAGTTTATCTTTTAAAAAAATTATCAAATACATAAAAAATTTTAATTTATTTTGATAAAAAAAATCTGAAGGTAAATAGACTCTTCAGTCCCTTCAGTTAAAATAAGATGTACTGTATCTGATAGTATAAGATAAGTGACTATAAGTTATATATTTAAGATAATCCCAATAAATTACCACCAATAAAATTCAAATTTAAGATCTTTTTATTGAAAAAAATAACTTTAATCAATTGAACTAATTATTTATTAGTAAAATTTTAATTTTCAATAATTTATCAAATATATTCTCAAATTAACCTTACTCTGTTAAGTGTACCAAACATATAAAAAAATAAAATTTGAGATTTTAATTTTAAAGTTCGAATTATAAGATCATAGCAATAAGATTTAGGAGGAAAAAGATAACTACATGTCATTATAACCTCCCACTTTTATTTTTAATTTATGGAAATTTACAATAGACATTAATATATCAATTTTGTTAGTGCGAAACGAATTTTTATTAAAAATATTTATTTTTTTTTAAAAAAAACTTACATATTTAATTTATCTAATAAGAATTTTCATTTTATAGATTTTAGTTTCAATTTTGGTTTTCATTTAATCAATTTTAATAAAAAAATTTATAAAGTTTATCTAAATAATTTCATCTAATTTTTCTCCCGTCAACTTAATTTTTTTATATTTCTAACAGTAAAAAAACGTTGGTATATTAAATCTCTTTGAAACAGTGTGCTTTAGGCCCATAACTTTCTCCACAATTTTCTTTGATTTTTTTTTTTGATTTTATTTTATCCTTTAACTCTCCCATCTCTATTTACCTACCTTATGTTAAAAGTAAATTACACGATTAATCATCTCGATCCTACAAATTTTAACAATCTGTTTAATATTCATAATATCTGATCTAATTAAAAGCAAATTCTTTCTTTTCATGTTCCTTTATTTTTCTTAGCAAGATCAATGTGAAATCAATGAAGGGACAAATAGTCTTCATGGAGATACCTAATTTTCTGAATTTAATATGTTTAACTTAAAATATCTTCTGTCAACCATGTGCAAGAACGAACACTTCAAAGGTTAAAATTTAAATTTCTATTTATTTAAAATTCTATTTTGAAAGTGTTCGATTTGAATATTAAAATGTTGTGGAATTTATGTGACCAATAAATTAATAAAAAGTCTGGAAATTTAATTTAAAAAATAAAAATTATGAACTGAGAGAGAGAGAGAGAGACAGCGTTAATTATAAGTTTTAGTAACTAAAAAAAAAAAAAAAAGTTTCGACATCTAGAATTTAAAAAATACGCGATAGTACAAGGATATAAATTTATTTTCAACTTAAGGGAAAAAAAAAAAAACCTGAAAACTTAGGTACTGTTTTTACTCATTATGATTAGATTACAATGTTTCGTCAGGCACAACAAACATGCATAGCAATACTTTTAAATAAGTAATTATAATTATTGTCTTTAATGACGATCTAAATCCCGCTAACAAAGAGATTAAACTGAAAATTGTCATTATATCATGATTCAATATTAAATTTTGCCTTTATATTTCAATTTTATTTAATTTTATCACTGTAATCAATATTGAATTTCGTTGATTTTTAAACCGAATTGAAATATTTCATGAAATACTTGTTAATAAAAATGAAAATTTTGCCATTTCAGTTTCTTTAAATTAAAAAAAAAAAAAACGGAATTGGAATATTCACGAAATATTCTATTAATGTAAATAGTAAATTTTCTACAATTCAGTTATTTTATCTAAAATAAATAAAATTAAAAATAATGACTCATTATACAATAATAGCAAACTATGTTTTTTATTCCGTAAGTCTGAGGTCAATTGTATGAAAGGTCAAAAAAAAATTATATTAGATCATAGTTTTAAATTTTTTTGTGCCAATCTTTTTTATAAAAAATAATTTTTTAATCTATTTTTTGAACTTTTACATCATTTTTCATTACTTGCATTCATGTCGTTCGTGGTCTACCTCAAAAAGTTTTAGTCTTTCTCAAATTCAAAAACTTATTTCTCTTAACTGATGCATAGATAGACCTATATTTCACTTGTCCCAACAACCTCAAACAGTCTTCTCTCATCTTTTCCTCAATTTGGACTAACCCTAATTTTTCTCGAATTTTTTCATTTCTAATTTTATTTCTTCTAGTTTTACCACACATCTATCTAAGCATTCTTATCTTAATTACGCTTATTTTCTTCTCATGTTGTTTCTTAATAGCCCAACACTTAGTCTCATATAATAATGCAGACTTAATAGCCCAACACTTAATCTCATATAATAATGCAGACTTTACAGTTATTTTATACAACTTTGCCTTTAACTTTAAAAGCATGTTATGATTACATAACAAACCTGACACACTTTGCTACCTCACTCATCTTACTTGAATTTTATAATTTTACATCCATTTCTTTCTCAGCATTACTATGAATAATTGATCCCAAATATAAAAAATAATTACTTTTTGGTACTACCTCACCACCTAACTTAATCACATTAGCACTCATTTTCATATTACTTCTAAACTTACATTACATATATTTAGCTTTAAATCTACTCATCTCTTTTTCTTTTTTTTATTTTTTTATTTTATTTATTTTTTTTTTTAAATCAAACAAAGCTCTTCTAAACATAGGCTCAACGACTTTGAGAAAAATAAATGCTTCTTGAAATAGAGGCACCACAACTTCGAAAAATAAAATTCTCCTTTAAACAGAGGCACCATAACTTTTGAAAAATAAAATGTTCCTCTAAATAGAGGTACCACAACTTTGGAAAATAAATTGCTCATCTAAACAGAGACACTATAACTTTTGAAAAATAAATTGCTCCTCTAAACAGAGGCACCACAACTTTCGAAAATTAAATTGCTTCTTGACGATCATATCCAGAGGAGTCGTAGATAAGATTTGAAGGATTCACAATTTAAGTTTGAAAATGAAAGGTTCAGATTCGTAAGTACCTTTTAGCTTCACAAGAATTCACTGAAATTTGATTATCAAATTTTTAGTTTATCAAGATTCACATTTGTAAATTACAAGATTTGCATCCAACATTTAAAGATTCTTATTTGAATTTTGAAGATTCACATCCAAAAATTAAAAGCTTCTTATTCGAGTCCAAAGGCTCACATTTGACAAATTTTAGGGTTCACATCCAAAAAGTTTAAAGCTTTTCGTTTGAATTTTGGATATTCACATCCAAAAGTTTAAAACTTTTCATTCTAGTTTGAAGATTCACATTTGACGAACTTTAGGATTTCACATCTCAAAAATTCTCATTTGAGTTTGAAGATTCACATTTGACAAATTTTAGGTTTCACACCTTAAAGATTCTCATATGAAATTTAAATATTCTTTTTTGAGAACTCAAAAATTCTCATCAAAAGATTTTCAGTGACTCAAAATTATGCATACAATGAATGTCATGATCAATGATGCAAATGCAACAATCTAGATTCTCACAATACCATATTCTTAACCATGATTTACATGCAAATGCATAGCCAAACCAAAATTTCAAATATTCTCTACAATGCAAACGTAATGCATGTAATACGGGTGTCCATATCATGAAATTCTAATATGGTAACATGGTTCTTAAGACTCCACCATCTCATATTTTTTCCTTGTTCAGTTTTTTAATACTTTGGAATAAGCTTCATTAGCTGATCATTATTATTTTCATCACTTGAACACCATCTATAGGCTTATCAGTACTAACAATTTCAGCATAAGTCTCATCCATTGCCCCATGTCATTTA